AAAACTACAGGATGGAAATGCCCTCTGCACTACCCTAAATGCTGGCATCAGGATACTAAAGAGAAGTTAAGACAACAGGTCTAGCTTGTACTGAATGCTGAAGGCTTGATAAGGGTACTGTAAGTGATCCCATGCAGTTGGATGCTTGCTGTAGCATGCTGTCAAGAAAATAAGATGCTACATTGATGACCCTGTCTTCTCAAGCAGCTCTCCTAACGAAAGATGCCTCTGTGTAGGCATCACCTAGTCTGGAGTAAGCAGCAGCATATGGAAGGTTGTTTACACCTCAGTTGGTGAGCCTCAAACCACAGTGATGTGGAAGTGGGAATGATTTGATAACTGAGAAAAGGACGTGTTATAGCTGGCTAGTTCAGTTTTGCCATTGGCTTGAACTGTGTGGCTACTGCCCAGAGTGCTCTGTTTCAACATGCTGCCATCGCTTGGGGTTACACTGCTGCTTCCTTTTCCCCTATAGAGGTAGTGGGGTTTTTCTACACAAGAGTGTTGATGGCTTAGGTAACACATTAATTAACTCCTTTACTGGCAAAAGCTGCTGTGATATATGCTTGTGTGGTACAGGCTGTCAATTGAAAGGCCCCTCCATCTGTTTGCTTTAAAAGGAGCTAAAAACCCCAAGCTAAAACCCCATCTCAGAGCTGATGTAAGGCTCAGCCCTTCTCGCCTCCTCCTCTCCCTCCCCAGTAATCACATTATTCACTGGGATGGAAAAAAGCCTTGGTGTTAATTTCCTCCATTCCCACACCTTGCAGCCCAGCACAAGTGACTGCCATTTCTTGTCCTTCAGAGACCAATTACTGCAGGTGAAGTCAGGCACAGAAGCACCGTTGCTAGGAGTGGGAAACGGGGACTGGGGCTGGATGCAGCCTTTGAGACCGGCAAGATGCAGAGATCTGGGTTGACCCTTTGTAAGCCTTACAGAATGGAAACCGTGGGGCAGATTGAAAATGGCATGTTTGGTAGCTGCCCCAGTCAAGTCTCATGTATGTGATGTCTTACAGATGTGAAGGGTGACGTCCAGATGGGGCCCTGAGATGGCAGCGCTTGTGCAGAACCCTCCAGGTTCTGATACAGTGTGGGAGAGGAATGCTGTGAATGATTTGTATAACACTAAGCTGGCTCCATACTTTATTCTTGTGGTCTTTAAGTCCTGTAGTAGTATTTCACATCCATTATAGGCTTTTAGGCTCATGACTTACATGGCAGGTGCCTGTCTATTCAGGCCAAGTGTCCTGGCTGGCGGGTATCTTCCCTAACAGTGTGGGATGCACATGCCTCCTGCAGGTACACAAGAATCCACTGGAAAACAACTCTGGCTCTTGGAGAAGCAACAGAAGCAGAGTCTTCTATGGGAAGATAACTCTGCTGTGGAAAGAGGATTCAGTGAAACTCCTGGTGAGGTTAGCACCAAATCTGGTTTTATCTTCCTTGTATGCAAGTGGGCTTCTGCTGAGCGCTCAGCATGTGGGAAGACATCTGTCATTTCTCAGGGCTTTTTTTGTCAGCAGCTCTCTTCCACTTTCAAAGCTGGATTAATGCTGCTTGTACTTGTAGTTCAAATGTTATGGAAGGAAAATGCTGGTATCGGAGGAGCACCAAAGATGGTCCATGCCATCCAGTGCTGACGCTCAGCAGCCCTAATGAAGGTCCCGATCACATAACAGAGCAAAATAGTTCTTAGTGAAGTAGTTTCCCTTTGTCCCAAGACTGAAACCTGTCAGAATCCAGGCAGCCACTGGAATTAATTACAGGTAATAAAAGATAGGCTTAACTAAATGCATTCACCTCGGTGTATTAGGCTTCTGTTGCACCAGATGTGCTTATACAGTGATGGTGTGGCTTGTATTCTTTTCATGCCCCTGCCCCTCTGTTTTAGAAGGGAAAAAGAAGCTATGTCTGTATTAGACATAGAAAATGTCTAATAAAGCAAAAGTGGCCACCATGGAGAAAGGGTGTCACAGCATCCCTCTTCTGCCTGGTTTTGTCTGTCTCTTCTCTTAGCATCGCTTCCCCCGGCTGTAAACACACTCTGGATTTGCTCTCGTGTGTCTGTATCACAACTTCTGTCTTGAGAACAGGCCTTTCAGCTTTGTTCATGTAATTACAGTGCAGCAAGGACAGGCTGGGAGAGGAGCACCGTAATTAGGAGGTTTTTCAAAGACACATTTCCTGTGCTGACTTTCTGATCTCCTGCTAGCGCTGCCACTGCTGTCTCTTGAATAATACCTGCCTCCTGTCTGTCCTTAATGCCGCTGATGAGGCCAGCTGTCAGGAAGGCACAGTTTGCCTCCTTTTTTCTTTGTAAAAAGCCTTTTTTTCCCCTCCTTTTCTTTTTCCCCTGCTCCTTTCCCTGATGGTGCTGTCAAATGCAGCTCGGTGTGAGACGACAGTGCGCTGTGGCACTTTTCATCTCAAGCCTTAAGGTTCACTGCAGACGTTGAGCACGAACTTGCTGTGTTTTAGTTTTGTTCAGTCTCTGGCTGGGCAGACTCATGGGGTTGGGTTTAAATTAGGGCTACTGAGAACTTCCTTAAGGGTTTGTTCTTCAGCTGCGTCTTTGGAAGCTTTAGATGCAGTTCTCTGTCTCCACAGCTACTGCTTGGGGGTGAGGGGTGTTGGGAAATGTGGTACTTGGACACCCTGGAGAGCCCCAGTGCTGAGAAAGTGTACCCACAGCATCTCCCTGAAGATGCTCCTTCCATGTATCACTGTAGCTTTCACAGCAGTTCCCAACACAGTACAGTAAGTACCGAGTGGAGTCTAGAACCAAACCCAGGTCTAAGCAATTCCTTGTATTTATATACATATACATACACATACCTAAGCTATGTTCCAGGTTTCTAGAATGGTAAATCCATGTAATGACAAGAAGTAGAGTGAGCTTTTGCTCAAGCCTTTGGGTCAGGTTGATCTTTGGGATTTATAAAGCTGCTGTGCCATTTCCCATCTAATGATGCTTCTTTTAATGCATCTTTTGATGCATCTTTTGATGCTCTGATTAACCTAAAAATAACCCTTTTCATTTACTCCTACTTTAATAGACCCTTTTGCTCCGGCAGTACACAGACTGAAATGTCACAGAGCCACTTCCTTGTACAAAGGGTCTGGTTTTTCCAATCCAGATTATTCTTTCAGGAAGATAACCAGGACACTAGAGTTGCTTTCCAGGAAGACCCAAGCAATCCTTGCACCCCACTGCTGCCTGATTAAATGAAGTTATAAATGGTTCAAATAACCAAAGAAATGAAGGGATGACAGCCCAGCGGAGGTAGAAGTGTATGTTCCATAAGGAATAGTATTCAGGCCAGGCTGGATGGGGCTTTGAGCAACCTGCTCTAGTGGAAGGTGTCCTTGCCTGTGGCAGGGGTTTGGAACTGGGTGAGCCTTAAGGTCCTTTCCAATCCAAACCATTCTATGACTCTATGAATCTGTGGTTCTGTGATTCCCCACCTTGGAGCAGGAAGGAAAACCATCCTGAAGTGCTTTTCTTCCTAACCAAAAAGCTTTTCTTCCTAACCTAATTTTACCATTCAACACTCAAGTAAGGCCCTGTGGAAGGGTCACTGTGCAGCAGTGTCCTGCTGCTGAGTCTTTGGTGACAATCTGTGGTATTTTTCCTCTACAGTGTCCTAGGATCTGCTCAGTCGAGTCAGTCTGTTGTGTTTTCACTGTTGTACCATTTGGCATTCAAATACATGCAGCCAGTGAAGCAGTGCTCACTCTCCTCATTTGAATTATCCATGCAAAGTCGATGTGGTTTTGAAATGTCATTTAACTCACTGGCTTGGTGCCTGTCCAGAAGATCTGATGGAGCTGCAGTGCTGCTCTCATTTCATAGGATTCATCCACACTTCACCTGGGGAGGAAGCAGGAGGAGATGGTCATGATCATTGCCATCCTGTTCTCGCTGTGTAGCACGTTTATAGCTGTGAGTTTGGTCTTTCTACTCCTTGCTGCCACCTCGTCCTTCCAACCCCCTACAAAACACCATGTCATCCTCCAGCCCCTTCTGCTCACCCTCTCTGTCTATGAGCTTGTCTGGGGAAACCAGTGTATTTGTATCACAAGGAGGAAACCCCATCACGTCCACCTTCCTTTTGTGTTTGCTCACATAATCTTCCAGTTACTCAGGCCTTGGCACCAGCCTTTGAAAGAGCTCACATCTGCTGCTGGAAACAAGATAAGTGCTCGCAGGCACTGAAATGTGCTTGGCTACTTGACATCTATCATGTCCCTGCCTGCCTAGGGGGGATGCATCTCACAGGCAGGGACTGTCTTGCAGCATTACAGAATTGATTTCGCTTACCCAGGCCTCCTAGAGATAGAAAACAGATGCAGCTGCCAGCAACACGGGTAGGAGCAGGTAAACAGATGTGAGTATCAGAGATAAAAGGTGGTTTCAATTTAATAGCTGGACAGCTGGTTGGAGCTGGAACAATCCCTGTGGAAATGATCTCCTCTGTGCAAACCACGTCTACAAAGGGGGATGATTTGTAGCTGACAGCGGCCCCGATGCAGCACATCTCTGCTCAGGGTTTGTGCCAGAGAAGGGATTTCCTGCTGTGGAGGCATGTCTGTGCTGGGGACAGCATTCCCGAGTGGTGCTGCTGGGACAGACCTGCCTATGAGGGCAGCAAAGCTGAGACACTGCAGAGTGTTCCCTGAGAACCCCACACACTGATTCACAGTGTGAATGGATGACTGCACACAGCATCCCAAGGGTCAACATCCTGCTCTATGGGCCTTCTCTCCTACAGGGATCTGATAGCTGCTTTGCTATCACTGCCCCCCCCCAGATAACCCCAGAGGCCAAAGCTTTGCCACCTAATGGGGTGCAGCATTTGCTGCCATGAGGTAATGCTGATGTCTTCTCCTTTGCATGTATTTGGTACTACATGAGGTGGTTAACGTGACTGTCTTTGTGCAGGCCTGGCATCTCCTTTGCCATCGCCTGTTTGCCATCACCCACATCCTCACCTCTTGTGATCTGAATGAGTAATCCCTGACATTTGTTTTTGGGCAGGTGGCTCTGGCACACCCTGACTCCTACATTCAAATACAGGAAGGGACACGGACAACACCTCATTTCATGGAGCTGAACAGGAGCACCATCCCCTCAGGTACATGTACAAAAGACACTGCCCCTGTTTAGTGTTGCAGGAGCCTGAAGGGACACATGCAAAAGGGAAGGTGGATTGCTATGGAAGGAATAGGGCTTCCACAGTCTTTGTTTCTACATTAAAGACAGGTTCAGATCTGAACTCAGACTCTTGACAACTTACATGAAGTCTTGTTACAAAACAGCATCTGGGTTTGATGTTCCTCAGTGTTCACAACTCAAACCCTCTGCCTGTGTCACAGGAATAGCAAAGGTACTTGGCATCTTTGGGCTGAAGTTGTGTGGGTCCTTTGAGTAATTCCGACTGAATTCCGAGTCTTTGAGCACACAAGGAGGTGACCAAACACTGTGAATGATCTATTCCATACCATAGAGCTCCCAGCTCTAACAGATGTGTGTTTCTTAGAGCAAAACGCTACCCTGGATTACAGTAACCCATGACTGACCCTTAACAGAAACTGTCTCTGTGCTGCATACTCACAGAGTAATGTTTAGAGATTGGAAAAGCACATCCCATAATCTAATTTTAACAGACTCTCTTTGGTTCCTATGTGTGTTACTAGTCAACTGGTTTTTATATACCCTTCTGTTACATACTATCCCATTTCTGTGATGAGGACTCTTTCATAGGCCAGGTTCTGTGCATTGCTTTCCACCTGGAAGCGATGGCTATTCCATGGCTTTTTGTCCATGCACTTGTGCAGAAGGTGGATGTGGATCTTCTATACACTGACAAGGTCTTGGGGAATGCTGGGTCTGAGCCATAAAGCAGGTGAGCATTGTGGTTTCTGGACCAGCCCTAAAACAAGGACAGAAACCATAAGATCTACTCATTGCCCTTGGTGCTAGGACAGTTCCAGCTTGGCTCAACCACAAACAGGAAGCTTAAATGAGGCCACTCATTACTGTTGTAGACCAAAGGGCTTCTTCAAATCTAACTAGGGGGAGAGTCTGCCCCCAACAGACACCAGCACATGAAATACCTCAGCATGAAGGCACCTTTCTTCACCTGAGACTGGGAAATCAAACGCTCTGTGTGTGTATTCAGCCCAACCCAGGGAAATAACTTGGACACAACAAAGCAGCAGCACTGCCCATGCAATAAGGCAAGGAAGATACAGTTTTTGCCAGTTCTGAAGGGTTTCTCAGCACTCGGTGCTAAATGCAGCTGATGCTCGCTGTTCCAAGCACGAGGTTAATCAGTGTCACATCTGGGTTTGTTCCATAGGAATCTGTTGCTTTAAACAAGTCTGTTGTATCAGACTTGGGAAAAAATATACCAGGAAACAACCAGGAAGACAATCTGCTGTTTGCTCAGCATGGATTTATGTGTCGGTGTTGATGGGTTTCATGCTTTAAGCCAGAATTAAGGCTATTTCTTTGGGGTTTTTGCCTCATCATTGTAGGATCAAAGCTTTGAATGTACCAGTGACAGTGTTTAGCCCTTTTGCAAGAGGAGAACCAAGGTGTATTCCCATCATGTAATGGCCACTGTTTGTAAGACGGGGTGCAACCAACGTCTCTGTCATCTGGCAACTACTCAACAAAAGCTTTGAGTAGATTCTCAAGGAGGAAAGGTGTTGTTTCTTCCTCCTCTTAAGAGTTACAGGTAGGAAATACACCAAGAAATGCAGTTGTCCGTGTTGTGGGTGTGAGTCAAGGTTCAGCTGCGCACAGAACGTTTGCTTATCCACAGGGATTGGAGGTAGTTGGCATGTCAGTGCTACACAGCGGGCTAGGATATACTGTCAGTGGAAATGAGGATGGGAGAGAAAGGCTGAAGCCAAGCCTCTGTTTCTCCAAATGGCATCTCTTCCTATAAGGGCTTTAAAAGCTCCACGGTACAATCCCTAAGGAAGCAATGCAATACAAGTATCAAAGCCATTTCCTGCCTGGATACTTTGTGCACACCTAGAACAGCCCTGCTCCAAGCTGGGATGAGCAGGATGCTGTTTGTGGTCCTGGGGATGTAGGAGAGGAAGGCTCAGCAGGGCTTTGAACTTCACAGGAAGGATTCCAAAGTGCCGTAAAGGATTGAGCAATGCCGTGGCTCACAGCCTTGAAGTGAATTCCCTGGGAAGGAAGTGGCCAGTGGAAGTTGTACCAAAGCTGGGTAATGACTTCAGGTCCTTTGCAAGCATTCTATGGTTCTATGAACTCAGTGAGCCTAATAAGCATGCTGTCCTGAAGCCGGTGATCAAATACCTGCTCATCCCCAGTGTGAACAGGTCTGAGTGCAGTAACGTAGCAAACGCCACCTGAGGCGAGTGAGCTTTCAGATGGGTGGGTTCCTTTTGCCACTAATCTAAACATTGGCTCCTTTATGGTACATTCTGCCTGGTTTATGGTGCTTTTATGATGTATCCTGGGACTCGCACTCGACTCTGCACCAGATCCTGCTCCCTGGGGTTGGTGTGTCCCTGCTCTCGCTGTAACCTGGGGTTCGCCTGCTTTTAGGAGCGAAAATTGCCCCCATTGTTCTCGGGTTTGTGGGTGTTTGTGCTGTAATTCACTGACTGGATCTGCAGCAAACCTGTTTTGAAGTGCAGCTCTAACGTGGGAGACTGTTCAAAAGGCAAGGTGTGTCTGGCTGATTAGCTGAGCTGGAGTCACCTGACCCTGAACAAATAGTTCCTGACCTGAATTTAATGTTAGCTTTATTTACTTAATATAGTAACGTTACAACTGGGCTGCAGCCAGCTGTATCCTTAACCATTTCCTCTCTTGGATGTGTAGTTTCAGAGAGGACCTCACAAAGCAGACATTGAATCGTGCTGTGGATCCAGACATCTTGCAGCGAGGTCATTCCCCCCCCACCCCGTGGATGCATCAGCTTCCTCAGTGCAGGACTGGGAGAAGCAGGGACATTAAAGGTGTTACAACACGCACTGCAGTGTGATGGGAGGGGAAGGAAGCAGCTCGGCCCGGCGAGGTGTGCTGTGTGCTGGTGATTCAGAGCAGTGCACAGCCAGTTGGAAAGCAGCACTAAAGAGTGCTGACTCTCCCTTTCATGCTCACTCCTGGCACAGGGTGACGGTGAAGTCAGGGCTGTGTTAGCTCTGTCACGCGATGTCAATAGGGAGGATCTGCTCCACAGGTGACTGCTGCCAGTGTGGGTTAGAATTGAAACCAGCTCTGTGTAGGCAGAGATGTTGTCAGTGCTGATCTGTTGCCCAAGAGGTTCCTGATTGCATGTTAAGCAGGTCTGAGGGGAAAGGGAATACTGTTTGTTCTAATAGAGTTTGTGGGCAGGAAGAAAACTGGATTAATGATCCGAGGTTCCTTGGAAGCTGGGAAAGCATCACTGCTGCTAGTTCTTGAAAGGCATGATAGGCAAACAGCGTGTAAGCCATAGAATCATAGATTGGGTTGGGAAGGACCTTAAGGCTCATCCAGTTCCAATCCCCTACCTCAGCACCCTCACAGGGAAGAACTTCTGCCTAAGAGCTCATCTCAGTTCAATGTGTGCCGTAGTGTTTGGGAAAGTCCATTCCAGTAAAATAATGTGGTATTCTCAGCTGCTGCCTTTAGTTAGACTGTGGTACTGTGGTATATCCACCAGAGCCTTGTGGCTGCTCTAGTTCTGTGGGTAACTTGACCAGCCCATGGTCTGTACCAGCCCAACTACTCTTCACTATCAGCTATGCTAAACTCCTGTTCCAACAACTCTGAGCACAAGGAACTGGTTCACATCAGCCACCAAAACACCTTACAATCCGACACCCAGCATGAGTCAGTGCTGCACACTACCTATGCCTGCACAGCTTTGAAAGACAGTGCTTGTGTCCCACTGTGTTTGCTGTTGTGATTAGAGCAGAGCTTTGTGTGGGGTCTGTCTGGGAAACCTTTAGGGTTTTTAGGGGGCTGGTGGCATCTGCCGATCCCTGCTGCTGAGACAAGCACAATCACATTTGGGGAAGTAGTGTGATACCTGAGCGCTGCTCTCTAGGGCTAGGAATACCGCAAGAAGATAGTGGTTCTGCCATGGCCTTCTTTGGTATTGTCTGGCCGTGATCCGCGGATTAACTATGAGAGCTTCCCAAAGCAGCTCACACATCACTTCATTTGGGAAATCCTCACGTTAAGAACAAAGGGCTGTGTAAGGATGAACTGTGAAGAGGGAAACAGCATGAAATCAACGGCACGTAGAAGCATTTAACAGGGCTGCTGTGTTTAACAGCAGCCAAGTGCCTGGCTCCATTTACCTGTCTGGGACACAGGAGCCGTTGCTGGACCTGCCTGAATGTCCTGGAGATTAGCAGGGTAGGAAAACACCTGCTTCCACTGAACTGATCCGAGAGGAGACAAAGGGCCAGAAAAGCAATAGCCCCAACCACACAGGGCTGGATGAAAGCTAATCTGTACCTGCAGCTTGGCAGTTGGCAGCTACAACCCCCCATTTAAAGGCAGTGAGAGTCCCAGTTCTTTAGATCTGAAGCCTCGCTGCTCTGAAGATGAAAGACTTTGTTCCATACCCCCGAACCCTCTTCCTTTTCTCTCTTTCTGTTCACTCAGCTGTGTCCAAATGGGGAGCAGGCAGAAGGGAGTTCAGCAAACCCAGATGCCGAACTGCTGCCCTCTGCAACAGGCAGCAAGGAGGGGCAGGCAACTCAGCCAGCAGGAAAGGGTAGAAACCTCCTGGGCATTGCTTAGGAGCTCAGTGGCACCCTTTAGTTTTACCCCTGAGGAAGATGGGGTTGGTTGGGAATCACTGATGACCACAGTATAGGCTTCAGTTCAGATATGGGATAGAAACTCTGGTGATGGGAAAGAGGGAATGTGGTGCTCTCATTCATCAGCAAGGGCTGTTCTCAGCATCTCTGCAAGCAGTGGTCTCCAGGAAGGGCTTTTAAGTTGGATTCTCAACTATTATGTGCCCAAGACCATTTAAAAGGTGAGCAGAAAGGGCACACAAAGCATCACTTGGGGCTCAGTGTCACTGCCTGACCCTGAGCTGTGTTTCATTCAGAAACTGGACTTAGCATCCACTGTCATGAGGCTCCTTTCCCCTCTGTTTGCTGTGATTGGAACAGAAACTGTTCTTCCAGCTGTTAACGCAGATACACACACTGCAAACCAGGCCCCTTCACGGATGCTGTGCACAGATTAATGGGACACCAATGGCCTCTCCTGGGGCTCTTCAATGTCATGTTTCTGTGTGGGTTTCGTGTGTATGTGTGTGTAATCTTACCTTTCCCTTGTTCACCAGCTTGTGCCCTATGGAAACACACCGGCAGCCTGGCAGATGGGATGTCTGGGGTTAGGTTTGGATGCCTGCAGAGAGGGGAGGGAAGAGAAGGTAAGGCTCTGTTGTAAAACTTTCTTTTGTGTTCACATAAGCACAGATGAGGCTCTCTTACCTGCTCACCGCTCGTGTCACCTTCAGAGCAGCAAGGAAACAGTGGAATGGACTTGTGACCTTACACACTAACACTGGCTAAACATGTTTGAGCTGTGTGATTGCAACGCGAGCCACCCCTCCGGGTTATTGTACCTCTCCAAAGGCTGCAGAGAGCAATATGCTTCTCCCCTCCTCCTTTTGCTTGCTTAACTTGTTAAGACATGGAAGGTTACTCCTGCTATGACTCCTCTTCCTGACCTGGCAGGTGGTGCCTTGTACTGAACTTTGCTCTCACAAACACAGTTGGGTTTCACATATCAGCCACCCATTGGGTGGACTCACCCATGTGCACTGGATTTACTCATTCTCCATGTGCTCTGTGGTTGTCTCAGGGCTGGGTTAAGGAGCTCTGTGGAGTGCAAGGGGGTTGCCACACAGAGATGAGGGCTGAGGATTCCACACGTTTAATCTCATGCCTTTAACTGTAAGGATTGTGCAATGGGTTGCTGAGGACAGGTAAGGAGATGATAGAGACTGAGGGGATGCAGGAAGTGGTACTAATGGCTATCGCCCTCGGATGAAAGAAATAACCACCTTTATGGGTCTGCACTGATGTGACCCCTTAATGCAAAGCTGCTCCAAAAGCAATGAGTTGTAATGCTGGATCAGAAAGCCAATGTGCTTTGTAGCCTGGTTTGAAGATCTGCTCAACAGGAGTTTGTTGAGGAATGGCTGTGAAATGAGCTGCTGACAAACATCTCCTGTTTGTCAGCAAAGAAACACTGCATTTGAACTGTGTGACAAGGTTTGCAACCTTTCTTCCTGTATCCACTCCAAAGCCAGGGGCACATCCAGGGCTTCCTTTTGATCATTTGTTTGCTACCAACCTTTTGGTGTCAGTGACATCCTGCGGTGTAGTTACACGTGAACTGCACCTGGTTGGGTCTTGGTTTTATTCCTCCATTGTTCACAGTTGATTATGCCAGTTTTTAACATTTCTATATTCTATGTCTGTCCCCACATTATTGTATTGTGAAAGTGGAATTAACTACACCGCTGGGTACCACTCACTGAGCATCCCAGGACAACAATACTCATCCTCTTAACCCCAACCTGTTGTATATTTGTATTCCTCCAGTTAAATCCTGCAGGTTTTGCTTAACTGCCATTTGGGAAAGATTCCTGTTCACTTGAACTACCTGCATTAACCTCAGGAGGGATTATTAATGTAGGGATTTGGCTTGCTGGTGAGTGTTGATGGGCCAGATAGAGCTGAACTGATTTGATAACCCCAAAAATGAACGTTTCAGTGCAATAAGTCACACATCCATCTTTTCAAAGGTGCAAAATACACCATGTTTTTTGTGCTGTACTTCAGGGAGCTTTATCAAGTGCAGAACCCACACTCGGAGCATAAATCCATCAGTGCAGTATGTGAATGAAATCTCAAATCTTGGTGCATGAAGATCATTTATGATTAAGGAATTATGATTAAGCCCTTAAGGAATCTCACCTCTGCAAATGGCAGAAAAAGCTCTTTGCTATTGCTGCATTGTAAAAGGAACTTGGCTGAGCAGATCATTAAAGGCACCAGTAGGTATTGCACAGCTTAGTCCTCTGCTGTGCTATAGGAATCCCATTAAATGCTGCTGTTCAATGCTCTTGCTCTGTAAATCGTGTATTGAAAACCTGGGTGTTTCTGACCCCGGCACAAGTGACAGTAAACTCAAACTGCAAACTCTGTGACCTCCTTGCAGAGAAACCAGGTTTGCAACTGAAGGTTTCCAAGGTCTCTCTTGAGTTAGCTCTGAGGATAAGTTGGGTCTTGGGGGACTCCTTCTGCCAGCTGGGCTAACGAACGTGATCATTTGTTGTTTCATTAGCTGCATCTTTCATGGGAAATGCGAGTGTTTTTCCTCCATAACAAGGAGGAAACATTTTCCTTGTTTTTCTTTTTCAGGGCACTGAGGAGAATGTTTGGAAAACTTCCTTGCAAAGGGATGAAAACGGGATTTGGAATCCCACAGCCTTAATCCTGCTTTCGTTTATTCTAAACACTGTTACTAAGCACACTTAGAGCTGAGCATCAGTTCTGCCTGAACCCCTCTTCCACATCCCTTCAGAGTAGGTTATGTCACTGAAGACATCCCACCTGCCAACATCCAAGAAGCATTTTGTGTAGGAAGGAAGAGTTTCTACCTCCTAGATTAATCCAGGAGTAAATACCACAAAGATCTGGGCTGAAGTGGCCTCTAATCATTGGGATCTCAATCCTGGTGCCTGTGAATGGACCTTTGTAAGCCTCTGCTTTTATTAGCCTGTATATCGGGAGACTTGAGTTCTGGTTGGAGATTTTACGGCTTTCTGAGACATTTTCTGTGTCATCACTGCATGGGGATGGGATTCAATCTGCTGCTAAGTTTTTGTGTGAATTTACCAGCAAAACAGTGTGGATGTCCTTCAGCAGGTCCTTGCCTCTCTTTGTGCCTTACATTGTCCCTGTATATTGCATAGAATCATGGACTGGTTGGAAGGGAGCTTAAAGCTCATCCATTTCCAACCCCCTGCCATGAACAGGGACACCTTCCACTAGAGCAGCTTGCTTCAAGCCCCTGTGCCCAAGCTGGCCTTGAACAGTGCCAGGGACGGAGCAGCCTGTTCCATCAGTAAAGAGCTTCCTTATATCTAACCTAAATCCTCCTGTTTCACTTTGACCCCATCACCCCTCATCCTATCATTTTTCTTTGGAAAAGCCATCGCTAACCCATCAGTGTCCCTGTTGCAGGTGAGATGGCCTGGAAGAGTTCCCATTAATAACCGAATCTCTGTTTCAACAGGAACCACATTCTGCTTGGCTGAACAATCAGTTGGGTTAAAAACACCACCTTGGCCGCACGGCATTCCCAATGGCATATGGGAAGTGCTTTGCAATGGAAGAGTGCCTGGAGGTCGACTTGAAGGCAAGAGAAGAACACCCCTTCACCATCAACTCTTGGTTGCCCACAGCCTCTACTCTTCAGCGCACCTTAAGTGTATATCTACACTGTTGAATCCTAACATCAAACCTGAATCCAACAGGAATTCCACCTTTGTTGCGCCGGAGCCGGTTTCGCCCCGGCCGCTCCCAAATCCCGAGGACACACCTGTTAATAGCTAGAGGGAAGGAGATTGGTTGGGTGGAAGGAATGCACCTGCGCAGGGAGGGGTGAAGGACTACATGTAAGACGAGCCCCAGACACCCGCCGTCTCTTCTCAATTCCAGCTTCAACAAGCCACAGCGCTCTGGGGCTGCGAAGGGAAAACCACGCGCCTTTTCCTCCTTTGCTTTTCCCTGTTTGGGCTGAAGCTCTTTGTTTCGGGCTCTAACGCATCTCAGGCACGTGTTGCTTTTTTTCCAGGTCCACTTCTATTTTTGCCTGCCTTTGTTGACCACGAAGAGCTCTTTCGCTCCAAGCTCGTCTTTTCCAGGACACGGGAAGATCGGAAGAGGGAAAACTCTTCTTGTGCGCGCTCTCCTGCCGATCCTTTTTGTTACCCGCTTTGAAGCTGTCTTGGTTTGGGAGAAGGTGGTTGTGCTCCCTGCACTGAAGTTGCTTTGCGTGTGTGTGTGGTCATGGTCCTGGTAAGCCAGAGTGTCCAGGTTTAAAACGAGCCTGAGGAATGACTTCTTTAATGCCTTTTGTATCTTGCTCATCGATAATTCTTCTCTCAACTTTAACTTTCTATAGGACTCTGTCCCCTTTTCCCCTTCCTCCTCCTTTCCCCAGGTAGATTAAAGAGGTTTTTGTTGTACGTATCAGGTTTTGTCTGCTCAGAGTTAGGGGGGAGGGGAGCTGGGTGCATGAATTCAAACGTTCCTTTTACAACTAGCCAAACCAGTCAGGGCAGGTAAAAGCAGAACCAAGAGGTTGAATAGGAGGGAGCCAGTGGGGGAAAGCTGGTTTCACCGGGATGTCATGGGGAGCTGGGAGAAAGAGACCTCCTTGGAAAGGCTTGAATGTGACTAAAACGAAATGGGGGGGACACTGAAGAGGGCTCCTTGTGAGGAGAATCCTTGTGTTTCAGCGAGGCTCCAGCTTCAGCACTAACAGTCGCATTTCTCAATGCGAGCATGCCCTGGGCTCCTTGGATGTCTGTGTAATGATTGCCATTCCCCAGTTAGGTTTTAAATGAACTGCCATTTTAACTCACTGCCCCACAGCTGCAAGCACCAAATCCTCCAGGTTTAGTTTTTCTATCACTTTGGGGCCCCAGTGAATTCCTTGCTGCAAGTGAAGGGAACAGATTTGGAACGGTGCAGACCACACTTGGTTGCAGGGGAAGCTCTTGCTCTGTTTCAGCCCTCGGTTTCCGCTCAGGGCACCGAGGAGCCATTTTGGGTTCGTTTTGTTTATTCCTTTCTTACCCGAGGCTTTCTTTTGTGCATGACAAAGTGAGCATAATTAAAGCTTCTCCTCACTCTGGGGTTCGTTTGCTCTCGTTCAGGAGCTTCCCTTTGCCAGCTGGGACCAGCCTCTACTTGCACTGGGCTAGCTGGGCACCAAAGAGACAGAGAGAAGACAAAACAAAGTGGTTTGCTTCGTATTTGAAGTGTGAAGTTTAGGGGCGGGTTGGAGGCCGTCCCTGTGCTGCTTTCTCAAGCAGGGAGATCGAGGCACCTAAAGAGCCCCATCTTGCCTGTTCTAGTTCGGTCGGGAGGCGATAGCGTTGGGGGAGATCGTGTTGGATGAGGGGTTTTGTAAGCAGGCAGCCTGCTTGGCTAATTCCCGATGCAGGAAGAGACACTGGGCTTTGTAGACACTGAGGGAGGCAGCAGAAAGTGTTTGCTCATTGCTTCCCTCCACCCCTTCAGTAAAACTCCCTTCTGGAAGGTTCTGCGGGGCACAAAGCTCCAAAGAATTCCAGCTTTGGGCTAAAATCCGTGCAGAGCATCCAGCTTCTGACATCGAAACGCTCCTTGGTTCGCTTCGGTTCAAGGGGGTGGTTTATAGCCCTTTACTGAAGGGGTTTGTTAGGAATGCTTGAATACTGGTGGTTGATTTCACTTCAGTGGGGTGAATTCTGCGTTGTTCCTTTCTTCTTTTAATTGCAAGTATTGAAATCCGGCAGATTTAGCTTCTCATTGAAAAATACTATGATTTAAACATGGTTTTGCTTTATTCCAGACTCCTCTCTAACCTATGCTTGTTTCAGTCTCATAGAACAGAATTCACATCAATAGTAGCGTGCTGTCCTACCTGCGCGCAAACGCAACACTCAGGCCAACTGAAAGCTTGCGTTGGCACAACTAAACGTTGAGTTTTGCCTTTGCAAATCCAGGAATGGGCTTTTGGATTGGTTTTGATGGCCCTTCTTCACTTGAACTTGCGTTGCAGCTTGCAGATGCGGGTGGCTGGAGTGAAGTGCTACCCAGAGCTGGAGGCGTTACATGACAAGGGTTTGCTTTGCGCGTGTCTAAATCCCTCTCCAAACTCATGCATGTAACTGTTGGATTATCATCATCATCAGTTACTAGTGAACGAGCATTTGGGCTTGTTCATAGAGTGTTATAGAATTGGAGAATAGAGGAGTGTAGGAGAGATCCTGTGAATGCAGGGGTTTGGAAGCTGAGCTCTTCCCTTTGCGCACAGCCATGAAGGCACAGGCATTCCTCGCAGGAGTTAACTGACTCGCAGTAGTAGTCATGGACACAGCCTTGGCTGGTTTCATACATTGCAGGGGAGATAAGAATCAGGGCTTGAAAACCTGGTGCCTTACAGAAGTCCCTGAGCTCAGTGGGGTGCCCAGTGTGGGACCCTAAATGCACCGAAGCAGCGATGCTGGTGGGTCTTCCGAAAGGATCAGGGGCTGAGTTACTCTTTCTGCTCGTTGTACTGGGCAGCGCTGGGCTGAGTTTAACACTGTCCGTGAATGAGCTCAGGAGTGTGAGGCCCCTGACCCGGTGACACAGTTTTCCTGCTGTATTTTGCTATATAAGAACTTTATGCCACAAAGATGAGGGAAATCCTCCCTGAAACACAGCTTTCAGTTTAATCGGCTCTACATCAGTGAAAGGACACATTAAAATGCACAGCAGTTCGTGTCAGTGTTTGAAAAGTGGTTTAATGGGATATTCGTAAAGCTTTAAAAGTCCTCTGAGGCTTCCCCTATTCTGGGATGGTTTAAATGTGTAGGAAATGGGGTTTCCTGTGTCCTTGCTCTAAAAATCACGGAGGAAGCTCAAGGGATAACTTTCTTTTCCTACTATAAAGGCACCTAATGGGATTTGGAATGCCAGGGTTCAGACTGGACATAGCAGATACCTGCCATCAGCTGTCCCCTTGTGAAAACATCTTGTTTGCAAACCAAGTTAATGACGATGTTCTCGCCCTATTTTGGCCAGGGGAAAGTGGCCCCAGGAAATCCCCTTTTACACTTGGGATGCACCTTTCACTTTCATGAGGTTCTCTTTAAATGGCTCAGTCCTTAGAGTCTGGGAAGTCAATTTTAGGGTCCTACTTTTGTCTAATCCCAGGCTGTGGCAGAAGTAACCAGGATCAGTAAGCAGCTGAGCTCTGGAACAGACCTTAGTGTGTGCATTGATGCTTTGAGGCTTTCAAATCAGCCTGCCTGGCCTTTCAAACTCCAGCTATAGCTGATGGAGCTCCAAGATATAAAGGCTTGAGTTTCACGTGCTTTGTTCTTTTCATCACCATTGACTATTGATTAAGGCTCAGCCCTGCAGGTTAACTAACAAGTTATTCCCCCCCCCTCACTGGAGCTGCATTCTCCTTCAGCCCTGCAGCTACCTGGATGCAAACGGGCATCCCGGTGTTCCCACTTGCAGGATAATTGATACCCCATTGTTTTAAGGCTGCTGGAACTTTGTACTTGAGAAGGGAATGGGGGAGGCACGTAAGGAAGTAGAAGAGGGGAGGAGGAAGAAAGGTGCAAAGCTAATGGGGGTGGGGTTCACTTCAGTTCCTTGTTTTCCACCCCTCTTCAGTCACTCTTTCCCTTTTTCCCCAAGGCCTGAGCACTGGGACTAATGGTGATGATTAACTAAATGAAGTCGGTAACCTGGGCGACCATTGGGCTGGTTTTGTATTTCATGGGTACCGACCAGCCCGAGCCAAGCGCATTAGTGAGGGCTGGGGAGGTGAGATGGGGCTTTTGGGGGGGTCCTGGTGGGTTGAGGGGGGCGGTTCTTTGCACTGTGGTGTTTTACTTTGCATTGTGTGCCTTGATGTTTCACAACGGTAAGATCAACGCCACCTTCTTCCATGTCTCCCTCCTCCTCCTGTCCTTTTCATTCCTTCTCTTCCTGGCTTACCACTTGGGAATGATTCTGTAGATGACTGAAGTGTCTTTTCCCCCTGTTTGTTGGCCTACCTGTAAAATGCTGCCTTGAGAAGCAGAGAGAAAGGAGGTGAAAGGAAGGATTTATTCCTCAATCTATCAGCTATATGCTATCAGCTTGGAGATTGGGTTTTTTATGGTATATAACTTAGACTTGTCCTGTTTCTGCCAGAGTAACTTAAAAGCATTTAATTGCTTCACTTACATGCTAGCACCTCACTCGTATGGAGTGTTCTAACAGCAAGTGCCATCTTCTATGGAACCAGGAATTCTGATTCTCAGGCCTCTGGTGGGCATGAATTGCGTATAGCACTGGTGATGGTATCATAAGCAACAAGCTGGATGGTCTGCACTTGGTTCTGGGGGGGTTAAATACTAATAATTCATGTGCTTGTTACGTATTGAATAAGTCACACTCAAAGCAGACTTAATAAATGAGCTGAAATTGTGTATTAGTGCAATGGGACATAAGCATCTGTATTTGCTGAACGAGACAGAATCAAACCTGTGGGATTTAGCACTAGAAAAGCCAGAGCTCTGGCATTACCTTTGGGTGTGAAATGAGGATCCAGCTGTGAAATACGTGCATCAGCAGCGAGTGCTTCCATTTGACTTTGTCCCCACACAGGCTGGGCTGGTTGATAGGACCCATAACTCACCTGTGTAAGTGCTGTGCCTCTGGGGGGGTGTCTGTGCTTTAGGGTTTGTTGTCTCCAGCGTGGCCTTGGCTTGCAGGTGGCTCTGGTGTTGGTTGCAGTTTGGCTGTGGCTCGGGGTAACCCTCCTGGTTACTCAACGTGCCTCAGTTTGTCAAAGGCTTGGCAGCTCCTGTAGTCACAAAAAGGAACCATTAAAGTCCCTTCCACCCTGGGAGCAGTTGCATGGGTTCAGGTGAAGCTCAAGCCGTGTTTCTCACTACAACATCACACATTAACCATTTAAGCTGCTTTTAGTAAGATCATTTTCCTGACTTGTGTTAGTTGCTATTAAACCTTTAAAGGAGCAGCTTCTCCATTTTGAGGAGTCTCAGTTTTCAGGTCTCAGCTTTGCAATGGTAAGAGCTATATAAACTCTTCTATGTAGATGTATAACGTCTTAGTACGGATCAAGGCTTCATGTTGCCTTTTGCCTGCTGATATCAGCACAAAATTGCTCTATTTTTGTAGGTAGTGCAAGTTTTCCTTAAGTTTATTATGTATAATTCACTTCTGCAACTTCTTTTATGTATATTTTATATACATTATCTATATAATGTCTGTCTTATTATACTAATGGGGAAACAAGT